AAATAGAACCTTTAGCTTTGGTATTCAGCCTGGATACTGGATTTTACAAGTAATTATTTTTGCAAAGACCTCACTAAAGAAGTGTTTTACTTTCACTAAATACAAGAGACAATTATTTCAACCCTCTTCTGGCTGGATTTCACAGATTACTAAACACATTGCAGCACAGGTGCGACCCTCAGAAGCAAACACAGCTGTATTCAATGAAAAACACACCTCTAATTGGTCTCATTAAATGTGCATGGAAGAGAGTGATAGTTGGCACACATCAGACACCTAGTCACTGTTGATTTCCTGCCCACTGAGCACCATTCTGTAAGAAAGACTGATGTAAGACTGGCATGGAGCAAGTCTGCAGGTGCCGGCTGGCACCCTCACCACCCCAGTTCAGATCTATTCCTAACAAAACCCCAGGGGTTCTGTTTCTATTATCTCTTACTGTGTAACAAATATCCCCTAAACTTACTTGATTAAACCAACCACGGTTTTATTTTCTGACATAATTTTTCTGTGTTGACTGGGCTCAGCTGGGGAGTTCTTCTGTGCTGCGGAGCCTTGGCTGAGATTGCAGTCATCCGGAGGCTTAACTGGGCCAGGTTGGCCAAGAGGGCTCACTCATGTGTACGCAGCTTGGTGGGGACGGCTGGGAGGCTGAGGGGGCTGGGCCCCTTTTGTCTGTGTGAAATCAGGTCTCTCTTTCTTCACATGGCCTCCCTGTATGGTCCCTTTGGGTGGTCACTCAGCAGAGTAGCCAGATTTTCTTATACTGTGGCTTAAGACTCCCCAAAGGCAAAAGCAGAAGCTACCAGGCTGCTTACAGCTTAGGCCCAGAATTGTCACTTCCCCACAGTCTACTGGTTAAAGCAAGTCACAGACCATCCGAGACTCATCATGGTAAGGGACTTTCCAAGAGCATGAATCTTGCGAGGCCTGGTTCCTTGGAAGCTATCTTTGGAGAACAGCTGTCATGGGTTCTCTACCTGGGGCTACATCCAGGTAAGAACGAACTACAGAATGTAGCAAAATCTGCTTTATTTAACAGTAAAATTAGTAAAAACAAAATAAAAGTTATTCAAATCCCACGGAGTGAGATTCTGGCTTCAATTCTAGTATCACCTCATTAAGGAATTGGGAAAAGTGTTCATTAGACATGGTTTAAGTAAATGTCTTTTCTCTTGTCCTTTGTTGATGTTTCATTCATGTTCTTGGTCTACATCATCTGGTGAGCTTCTCCTGTGATTCATGTAGTCATGTTGTAATTACCACTTCCATTCTGGGGAATAGCATTTATACTTATATTTATTGCTGAAAAGCCTCCATTTCACCATCTTCAATTGTCCAAAGTTCATAATTTATGTTCAGAATCTTTGCCAACTGTCTTCATAGCCCTAGATGCTACTATACCTAATGGCTCCTGAATGATGCTGAAAACTTAAGGAAGGCTGGGCTCGGTGTAATCCCAGCGCTTTGGGAGGCCAAGGTGAGCGGACTGCCTGAGCCCGCGGGTTCAAGACCCACCTGGGCAACTTGGCAAGACCTCATCTCTACAATAAATCAAAAAATTAGCCGGGCATGATAGCATATGCCTGTAGTTCCAGCTACTCGAAAGGCTGAGGCGGAAGGATCTCCAAGCCCAGCAGGCGAGGCTGCGGTAGCTGGGAGCGGCCACAGCACTCCAGTCTGAGCGACAGAGTGAGACTCCAACTCAAAAAAAAAAAAAAACTTAAGGAAGGTTGTTCTTCTCCAACATACACGCTGGAATATTACTCTGCTAACAAAATTTTTTCTCCTGTGATGCTCCTTGATTTTGAAACATTCTTTGTGCCTGCGAGTGCTTAGAGGATTTTTCAAAGGTCCTGGATTTTTGTCAAAAGAGTGACTTCCAGATTATGTAGAACCTGAAAAAGGACCCGTACATAACAGAGTATCTAATGTGTAATAGATGCTAAACACATGTTTGTTGAACAAAATGAGAAATGTCATAACAACCGTTATGAGGAATAAACAAGTGCTCTGTTCTGAATGTTCATGTCCCTCCCAAATTCATCTGTTGAAATCCCCACTCCCAATGATAACATCAGAAAATGGTGTCTATTGGGAAGTGATTAGGTCATGAGGGTGGAGCCCTCAAGATGGAGTCGGTGTCCACATAAAAGAGATCCCAGAGAGCTCATTGGTCCCTTCCACTATATGAGCATACAGCAAGACTGTGCCATAAATAAACCAGGAAGCAGGCTCTCACCAGACACTGGTGATCTTGGACTTCCCAGTCTCCAGAACTGTGAGAAATAAATTTGTTGTTTAACAGCCACTTGGTCTATGGTATTTTGTTATAGCAACCTGAGTGGATTCAGGAGTTACCAATGAGTTACCTTTTGCAAAGAATCTGGAACACCATGAATTGTAATCATCCTTAGTTACCATTGTAATATCTGTTCCAGCCCTTATTCTTTAATATAAAATCTGCCCCAAAATACTAATCATAAACCTTCAATTGCTCCAGCCATTCAACCCCATTTTTCTAGGTGTCTTTTAATGGGAACATTTAATATATGTACATTCAACTATCAATATATTTGGCATTTCTGTCATTCATCTTGTGCTTTCTAGTTGTGTCACCCTCTTAGTTTCTTTTTTATAGCTCTAGTTTCCTTCTTTTGGACTTTTTTACTCCATTTTTCCCTTTCTATGAGCTTCCAAGTTATGCATTCTGTTTTCAGACTTTTAGTAGTGACCCTAGTCATTTTAACAAGCATTCTTTTACTAATCCAATCTAAGTTATTTACTATCTTTTTCTTCCCTCAACAATTCAGGACCTTAGAAAACTTTCACTATGATCATCCATCTCCTGAATTATTTGTTGTTGCATATTTTAGTTGTGTTTTACTGTTTATAATCCCAAGGTATTATTATTGTTTTGTAGAGTCATTGTTTGTTCAGATTTTATAGTAAATTTTAACTCATTTTTCAGATCTACTCGGCCAATTTTATGGTCTGTTGTTCTCCACTTTTGTCTTCAACCTCTTGCACTATTTAAACATATTCTGTGCTTGATAAGTCAGGGAGTCTTTGTATGTTGAATTCTGTAAGTTGTTTTTGCTCATGGTACTGTGTCAGTCTTTGATTCATAATTATTTATGACTTTTTGCTCATATTTTTTTGAAATTATATGTAATTATTTGTGCCCAGGTGAAAGTAGAAAGTGAGTTCCTCTAAAAAGGAAGATTTGTTGCCCAGGCTGGTCTTGAACTCCCAGGCTCAAGCAATCCTCCCACCTTGGCTTCCCAAAGTGCTGAGATTACAGATGTGAGCCACAGTGCCCACCTTGTTTCTACATTTAAAAAAAAAAAAAAAGCTGGGTGTCGTGGCACATGCTTTTGTAGTCCCAGCTACTTGGGAGGCTGAGATAGAGGAATCCCCTGAGCCCAAGAGGTTGAGGCTGTGGTGAGCCATAATCAATCTTGCCACTGCACTCCAGCCTGGGTGACATAGTGAGACTCTGACTCAAAAAAAGGAAAAAAAAAGGAGAATTTACATCTGCTTTTGTAGGTAACAGGGAGAACTACCAACCCAACAGCACTTTAAATCAAATTCTTGGCTTGAGGCTTTTGTGAACACCCAAAGTATATATTTTGTCTGTAAGCCTTGCATGAGGTCAAGATTATAATTTGAAAAATCAGAGCCGGGCTCGGTGGCTCAGCCTGTAATTTCGTGCCTTGGGAGGCTGAGGTGAGTGGATTGCCTGAGCCCATGGGTTCGTGACCCGCCTGGGCAACTTGGTGAGACCTCATCTCTACAATAAATCAAAAAATTAGCCGGGTGTGGTAGCGTGCACCTGTCGTTCCAGCTACTTGGAAGGCTGAGGTGGAAGGATCACTGGAGCCCAGCAGGTCGAGGCTGCGGTGGCCGGGAGCGGCCACTGCACTCCAGTCTGGGCGACAGAGTGAGACTCCAACTCAAAAAATAAAAAAGGAAAAAGAAAAATCAGGGAAGATCCTGTAGCTTCCACACCTTTCCAGTTCAAGTTTTCAGTCAGCCTATTTTGTTCACAGTTTCCTAGAGGGTCAGGGTCAGGGACAGATTAATGTCTTATTTACCCTTAAAGTGGAAACTATTGAGTATTATCTGTCATGATGCTGGAAACAGAAACTTGTGTTGAAGTTTAACTGAAAGTTCTATTTTGGCTTTAGAAAAGTCATCATCATCTGTGATGTGGTTGCCCTTGGGAACTGATGCCTAGAAAGACTTTTGGGGAGAGTAGTGAACAGGAGAGTACCCTATTTCTACTCACCACCCTCAGTGCCTATCCAAGTAGAATTCAAGTTACACCTCCACGGTGGAATTTGCCTGGAGAAGACATCTTGCATTCACCTCTATTAATAGGCACATGTTCCTCCATACCACTTCTACCCTAGCTCTGCCAGGACCTAGGCAATTTTCTTCCTATATCGTGATCCTGTTTCCCATCTGCTCTCTCTGTCTGCCATCTACTTGGTCACTCAGTTGAAACCCCTCTTTCTGCCCAGGTTTCCCAGCTCTTTCTGGAATTTGGGTCACACTATGCCCGAAGGACCACCCTTTCTGGATCTCTCCAATCCCAGAAATCATCTTGGGCAAGTAATCTGTCCCATGAGCTACCCAGTGTTCACACTTTGGCTAGCTTGTAGCCTCCTATCCTCAGTTCACTCAGGTATGGGCTTCATGATCCAACCCAGACACCCTTCTCTCTTTTCATTTCTCCCTCCCCTCTCGCCCTTCTCTCTACCACATTTTTGTTCACGTGTTCCACTCCAGGGCTCTACTGTTGAATACCAAATGTCATGGTTACAGCTCTCTGTATAACATCTCCAACCCTGTCCCTCTCCTCTTCCATGAGCGGTCAGCTCTTGGGTCCACAGGCCCAACTGTAAGCCACGCACAGAAGAGACAGAAGGTTCCTGCTGCAGCCTCGGCACTTCACTCTCCAGCCTTCTCATTCCCTGTGATCTTCTCCCTTCTAGTCCAAGAGGCCCAGAAGCAAACCTGGAGGTGAGATCTGAAAAAAGCTGGAACCACCATGCTGACCCTGTGCACTACGAGGATGCAGGCCCCGTTCCCGGAAAGCCCTCTGCCAATACGGATGAGGAAGACGGAGGTCCCCAAATCTGCCGTGTATGTGGGGACAAGGCCACTGGTTATCACTTCAATGTCATGACATGTGAAGGATGCAAGGGCTTTTTCAGGTAGAGTTACCTTCTCTCACGTGCCAGCACTGACACGCGGAGTCACATCTGTCTGGGGTCTGCCTCTAGCCTACTGGTGACATCGCAGGGTCTCAGCTTCACCTGTCTCCCTGGTTCTGAGTGTGAGCTGGTGGCCTGTCCAAAGGCCTTGTAACTCATCTCAATTAAGCCTTTTATGTCTCAGAGAAATTCTTCATCCTCAGTCTTCCTTTTCTACCTGGAAAAGGTCCCCTTCCATGAAGGTATCACTTAGTTTCTCCATTGTTCTTGAATAGAATGGAAGATTAGGCAGCAAGAGAGAAAAGAATTTGAAAATCCAAAAAGGCAAGTGTTCAAATCAGTCTTCTTGTATGGTTGTTAAGTAAAGAATGTCAGGAAATGAAAAACATGACAAAACAAGCTCACCTAGAAACAAACAGGGAGAACCAAAACATTAAGAACTATAAAGTCCCAACTCACAGCAAGGCAGGCTGGACAGAAGGACTCATGTTGCTCAGCCGAAGAAAGAGGTGTGAAACCAGCTCTGCAAGGCTACCCTCAGACCAGGAGGAAGAGAAGCAGACCAAGAAAAGAGGAGAGAAAGGCATGTGTGAAGAAGAGCTCCCGGCATGCCTTCAGGAGGGGTCGGGATTTGCAAGGAACAGCTCCCACCTCAGGGGCCACCCTTGGGTGCCTCGTGCATTCTCAACACAGCCTGCCTGACCTGGCCTTTCACCAAGTTCCTCCTGGTGGCTGGACATTTCGAATAGTCCAAGCCTACGCCCAAAGTAGTCACTAGCAAAAAGAACCAGATATATCCCTGAGATGCATGGAAGAGGGTAGACATCTGTACCGATCTGGATTCTGCCCACACAGAAGAGACCTCCCGGAGCAGCTGCCCAAGCAGTACCGTGGGTGCTGCCTTGGGGTGTGGGAGCCCTCTGATCGTTCTCCATTGGGTGCTCTTCTTGGGACTCCCAGAGGGAGACAACATATTCTAGTGGTTAAGAGCTTGGATTCTGGTATCAGGCAGATCTGGATTCAAATTTCTCCTTGTTGTGTACCTGGAGGACAGTTGGTGATGTGTCTTCTCCAAGCCTCAGTCTCCTTCCTCTGTGCAGCACAGATGAGATTATGAATTTCATAGGGTTTTGAGAACTAGATTTGTGAGAACTAGATCTGCAAAATATCTAACCCAACATCTGATACATAGTGTGCCTTTAAGAAATGTGATCCTTGGTTTCCCCTTTAGTGCATTCTGGACGGACTCTGAAGTGGCATCGGGAGTTTCGTACACAGGTCATCAGGAAAGGCAAAAGCGAACACACCCTCTAGGCTGGCCCTTGATCCGAGGCCTCAGGCCTCTGAGCGCTCAAACCTGTTGGGTCACCACGAGCCCAGCTCAGCCTCCCAGGCCAGTCCTCAAGGACAGCTCTGCAGCCACATCTGGCTGTCCCCATGTTCTGGTGCCTTCCTTCAGTTTCCACTCTGGTCCAGAATCAGAGGCCAGAGCCAAGGAAGAGTTTGTTTCTTTCCATCCAGCTGTGGAAAGGCAGGAAATAAAGTTAGGGCGGCACAGATTGGGTCTTTTTTTGAGGGAAGTTCAGGAAGTTTAGGTGGGTAGGTGGCAGGGATGGTCCTGCTGGAGTCTCCGAAGGGCACCTGCCCCGCTGCCTCCCTCTGCGCCACCTCTGTGTGAGGTCTGCAGATTCAGCCCCGAATGCTCTTCTTTTACGGGGCTCTGGACCACTTTGCCTTGCAAAGTCAGTGTGGGGAACCCACTCTCCAATGGGGAAGACCTCGTCCTGTGAGGTAGAAAAGTTTCCCTGTAGTTTGTCTATTTCTCCCTGGCTTCCTAACCTAGAATGGGGAAGGGAGGGGGCTTCTTGTGCTTTTTTATGATGCTGGGCTTCTAAGGAGGAGAAATCCAGAAAGAGGCCCATCTCCATGGAAACATTGCCTGTTAACAAGGATGTGAAGGAGGAGCGGACAGGTGCTTCCCGAACAGAGGAAGTGGAGGTGCTAGGGCTGGAGCGTCCCAGAAAATGGCTCAGGGGCTGCAGGCAGCTGTGCAAACACACGTCCCATTCTCTGTCTCAGAAAAGTCCTCCCCTGCTCTGCCTCCTCTAGTCGAGTCCTGGACCCTTTAGGGGTGCCCAGTAAAGATAAAAGCCGGAAGAGACTCCACCTAAACCCTTCCCATAAATCCTGCCGAAGCTTGGGAGGCAAAGGCAGACTGTGGAGGGGGTTACCAGAGAAGGGCAGAAAACTTGGTGTGGCCTGGAGCCCCTGGCTGAGGGAGTCCATGTGCCCCTGCAGCCTACCTTCTGCCCCTTGCTCTCTCACAGGAGAGCCATGAAACGCAATGCCCGGCTGAGATGCCCCTTCCGGAAGGGTGCCTGCGAGATCACCCGGAAGACCCGGCGGCAGTGCCAGGCCTGCCGACTGCGCAAGTGCCTGGAGAGTGGCATGAAGAAGGAAAGTGAGCAGAGGGTACATCAGGGGGGGTGTGGGGCTGGGTGCCCAGGCTCTGTGCACTCTGGGCAGGTGGTGTGCCCAGAGCCAGTAGAGACAGGCTGCAGGAGTGAGCACGGGCATATGTGTCTCTGTGCATTGATGCGCCCACGTGTACGTGTGAGCTGGTGTCTGTGTGCCACAGGCAGCCACCTGGAAGAGAGCTTGCAGAGGGCCTGCTGAGGTGGGGGTGGGGGCATCTTTAATCTCTGCCCCAGGGGGTGTGGTGGGCATCTGTGGCCGGGGCCTTGCCTCCTCTCTCCGCTCAGTTGCTCCTGCATGGTTCTTTTTTTTACCCCCGAGTTGGAGTCTCACTCTGTCGCCCAGACTGGAGTGCAGTGGCTGCTCCCGGCCACCGCAGCCTCGACCTGCTGGGGCTCTGGTGATCCTTCCGCCTCAGCCTTTCAGTAGCTGGAACTACAGGCGCGCGCTACCACGCCCAGCTAATTTTTTTGATTTATTGTGGAGATGAGATCTCGCCATATTGCCCAGGCAGGTCTCGATCCCACAGGCTCAGGCAATCCACTCGCCTCGGCCTCCCAAAGTGCTGGGATTACAGGTTGAACCACCGAGATTCTTTTTGTCCCCATCATAATTGCTCTCATGGTTTGCCACCAGATTGGGGGTGGGGGAGGGTCAACCTGGGGGAGGGAAGCAGGAGAGAGCTTGTAAGACATGATCCCCAATCTTCTCAAGACTAGCACCTGGCGCTGCCCAGACCTGGATCTTTATTTTTTTATTTTTTATTTTTTTTTTGAGTTGGAGTCTCACTCTGTCGCCCAGACTGGAGTGCAGTGGCCGCTCCCGGCCACCGCAGCCTTGACCTGCTGGGCTCGGCGATCCTTCCGCCTCAGCCTTCCAAGTAGCCAGAATTGCAGGCATGCGCTACCACGCCCAGCTGATTTTTTGATTTATTGTAGAGATGAGGTCTCGCTGCCCAGGCGGGTCTCGAACCCGCGGGCTCAGGCAATCCACTCACCTCAGCCTCCCAAAGGCGCGGGATTATAGGCTGAGCCACCAAGCCCGGCTCAGACCTGGATCTTTATAGGGGGAACTGTTTGCAGACAGGTGGCGTGGTCAGGGTGGCGGGAAGGTTCTCATTCTATCTGCTTCACTTTGGTTTATTTGTGCTCCCAGGTCACTGAGATGAAAGCTCATCAAGTTTAAAGGTTTTTTTGTCTCCACTGAACACAGAGTGACCCAAAGCTGTGGGCTGCCTCTTTCAGGGTCAAGTTCTCTGGGCATGCGGGCAGAGTCATTCCAGTTGAGATTGAGGCCCCCACCCGGCTGTCCCTGCCAGCAGATGTCCTTGATCCCTCCCCTCTAGAGCTCCATGGCTTCACTCTGCACATCTGAGTGGGCTCCAGAAACCCACGGAAGACCCCAAGGCTCCAGGTCTCATAGGCGTTTCTATTTCTTGCTAAGCTGTAGTCCCAGCTTCCTGGGGTCTTACAGATCCAGAGGCCCTGGGGGACTCTGAGGAGTCTTGTTGGTATATAATCCACCAGGGAAACAATAAGATCAGGTGCCATTTATCGAATATCTCATGTTCCCCTGTGCATGCAGCATCTCCCCTTAACAGCAGTGTGAGGTAAACACAGTCACTCCAGATAACCAGGAAAGAACCCGGAGGCAGGAGAGGTTGAGGAGCTAGCTCGAGGCCACAGATAGTAAGCCACAAAGCTTTCAAGCAAATCCCAGCGCCTTGGATTCTGAAGTCCACGCTCTTCCCACCGTCCCAGAGTGTCCTCAACTCCCGCTGCAGAGGGTGGCACATCAGTTGTACCTCACCTCTGTCCTCACCCTGGTGTTTCTCCAGGGAAGCCCACAGACCTCTCGAGTCTGGACGGGAATTTCCTGCCGCTATCACTTTCCATTTTGCCCTCTGATGCCTTGAGAGGGTAATGCAGCTGCTCCCGGGGGCTGGACGCTGAATGGGTCACGCGCGCCTGAGCCTGCCTTGCTGTCCCTGCAGTGATTATGTCTGACGCCGCTGTGGAGCAGAGGCGGGCTTTGATCAAGAGGAAGAAGAGAGAACGGATCAGGACTCAGCCACCAGGAGTGCAGAGGCTGACGGAAGAGCAGCAGATGATGATCAGGGAGCTGATGGACGCGCAGATGAAAACCTTTGACACCACCTTCTCCCATTTCAAGAATTTCCGGGTAGGAGGCCTGGGAGCCAGCCCCACTCCTGCGCCTCCTCTCTAGACCTGTCTCATTCCCACGAGTTGTCAAAGGGAGGTCTCTGGGTCAGCAGCATCAGTATGCGAATCTTAGGCCACCTCAGCCTTCTGACTCAGAAACTCTGGGGAAGGGCAAAACCCCCAGGTGATTCTGATACAGGCTCAGGGTGGAGAATCACCGCTCTCTCCTTCAAAGCAGGCAGAAATTGGATCTGAGCCATCGATGCAGGGAAAGTCGGGAGATTTCCCCGTGTTGCTGGCACTCAAGGGCTTTATGAGACAAGGACAGAGCCTGTGGTGGCAGGGGGGAGGGGGGTGTGTGTGGCCTTGGTGAACTGGTGTTTATTGATCCAAGGAACGTTGGTGATCCCAGCTTTGCCGTGTCTCTGCTCCAAGTGCCTCCCTCTCCATTGCATCCAGGTGCCTAGGTCGTCCAGCTCAGAGAAATGGATTAGCCCAGTGACCTTTCTATCTGTCATTTCCTATCCCTTCTCTTTGAGTCTCCTGAACCCAATGTCTGGGATGTTTGGGACACACCATGGGTGGAGTACCCCTCACCCTCCACGTTGACATTTACCAGGCAGGTGTGTGACTATAAATTCATAGATCCAGAAAGCACCAGCGGGTAGGGGAAGGCCAGAGAGAAGAAATAGGTGTGTGTGTGTGTGTGTGTGTACACACATGTGCATAAGAGTGAGCGCCTGCAATTGTGTGTCCTCTCAGGTTGCAGCTGTGGCTGTGCACGTCAGTTTGGGGCCTAAGTGGGGACTTGTCTATGAACACACAAACTGTCTCTCCTCTCTCTACCTCCTTGCGTGTGTCCCAGCTGCCGGAGGTACTTCACAGTGGCCGTGAGATTCCAGAGTTTCTGCAGGCCCCGTCAGGGGAAGAGGCTGCCAAGTGGAGCCAGATCAGGGAAGAACTGTGCTCTCTGAAGGTCTCTCTGCAGCTGCGGGGAGAGGACGGCAGTGTCTGGAACTACAAACCCCCCACCAACAGTGGCGGGACAGAAATCTTTTCCATGCTGCCCCACATGGCAGACATGTCAACCTACATGTTCAAAGGCATCATCAACTTTGCCAAAGTCATCTCCTTCTTCAGGTAGGACATGGAGGCTGGGTGTGTGGGTGTGGAATGGAACAGGAATTGGCCAAGAGGTTCTGGGGTTCTGGAGTAGAAGGGTACTGAAAGACCCTCCTCTATTTCTACCCCTCTGGGGGCAGCTGATGCTGCTGGGGAATAGAGTAGCCCGGTAGCTTTGTGGCCTGCCATTTACCCTAACTGTGCCTCAGCCTCCTGGTCTGCTAGATGGGAGCTAATGGTACCCACCTTGCATGACTGTCGTATGAAATAGGAAAACATCTGAAGAGCACACAGCACACGGTGGACATTCAGATAGGAATTCCCTTTCTTTTTCTCCTGCAGAAGGGTGGGAACTACATGCTGATGGTTCCAGAGCAAAGAATGAGTTGGAAGGAAAGGAAAAGGCATCCAGAGTGAGAGGAAAGGAGAGAGAGAGAGAGAGAGAAACAGACGTTGGGTGTCCAGCAGTCTGCCATCAGACAAGGCTAAAAAGGCCATGGAGGGGAGTGGTGGAGAGCCAAAGGGCGGGGTCTCTCCAGAGCTAGGTGTGGAGGCAACAAATCCTGGGGCAACAGTATTAGCCGGAAACCTGGGAACTTCCTGGTGTGGCGGGAACCACAGCCAGGTAACATGCAGTCTGTTAGGGTGGAGGTGGGGCTGCGTGCGGGGTATTTGTTCCTTTGGTTAGAGCTCCTTGCCTTGCCAAGCCTGGTCAAGCAGGGCTGAATCATATACCCAAGGAGTGCCTGGTTTCATCTGTAGGTTGAGGGCCAGTTATATTTTAGGAGTCCACAGACTCCCCTATGGGAGACCTGCAGGAATTATTTAATGGGGGGAGGGTGACAGCAGGCTGGGGTGGGGATCAGATGGTGGCAGCTGAAGGGGGTAGGGAGAGAAGCCTACTGACAAAGTTCGACAATGGAAGATCCCTGCTGACATCCGTTGACCCACGATTTAACACCAGGATAGGAGGTCACTCGCTGTTTCTCATGCCCACCATTTTGAGCACCATGACTCTGGCATCATTGCCATCTTCATTCCCAGGTAGAAACTGAGGTTCACTAAGGTTAGGACACTTGTCAAGGTCACACCTAATCACTAACACTTTGGAAGTGCCAGTGCCAGCTACTTGCCAGGTCCTGAGCCCGGCAATGAGTGGGCACACAAGGATCAGATCAGTTTCATGGCATTTGTAGCTCAGTATCATGGATCTAAAAGAAGGGCAGGCTAGGCTGGTCGCGTTGGCTCAGCCTGTAATTCCAGTACTTTGGGAGGCTGAGGCGAGAGGATTGCCTGAGCCTGGGAGTTTGAGACCAGCCTGGGCAACTTGGTGAGACTTCACAAAAACTAGCTGGGCATGGTATGTAGTTCCAGCTACTTGGAAGGCTGAGGCAGAATGATTGCTTAAGCCCAGCAGGTCGAGGCTGCAGTGGCCATGAGCATGCCACTGCACTCCAGCCAGGACAGCAAGAGTGACACTCCAACTCAATGAATGAATGAACGAATGCATGCATGCATGAATGAATGAATAAATAAATAAAAAGAAGGGCAGATGTGAGGAGCTCAGGGTTCAGGGAGGCCAAAGCCAGAGGCAAGGCTTCCTCAAGAGCCAGCATAATTGGCCTCCTTCTCATTGGGAATGTCTCCATATTGGGGAGGGGGGCCCTCCTGTGTTGAGAGGGAGTGGTCTGTCAGGATTGGAAGGGTGTCAATGTCACCATGAATCTCAGAGGCTCATTATGTAGCCACCATGGCTAGGTCTGTGCTTGGCACTGGGAGTGAGGCTCTAGGCATCCAGGGAGAAACAGCAGAAATACATAGGTACATGTTAAATCCAATACAGACAGCAGGAAGCAAATATCCCTGCTGCATAAAGTTGGGCCAAAAGGGTGGCACTTGCAGAGGGACTGTACTCTGGAGAGACTTCTGATCTTTTGGGGCAGAGACATAGCTTGGCCAGAAGGAATAGCAAGATTTACTTCTGTGAAGCTAAAGGGGCAATCATTCCAAGTGGGGAAACTGAGGCAGAAAGTATGAGGCCAGAGACCAGAAGCCACAACACTGGCTATGTATGTCAGAGGCTGTGTAGGGAGTTGGAGGAGATGGGGCCAGGCTGTAAGGGACCTGGATGCCAAGCTCAGTGGGCACTGGAGAGTCCCTGAAGGTAGCAGGAGAGGAATATGGTAGAAAGAGGAATCTGCTTGGCTGGATTGTGAGGGGAGAGATTGGAGCATCCAGAAAGCAACTGTAATAATCCTCAGGGTAAGGAGCCTATCACCCCTCCTCCCCTCCCTTCCCCCAATTTCCGGATTATGGGAGTGGGTGCTGGTCCCGGCCTGGGGGCAACTTCCCAGGGGCTGTCCTCCCCTCCTGGTCCTTGCTGTCAGGGACTTGCCCATCGGGGACCAGATCTCCCTGCTGAAGGGGGCCACTTTCGAGCTGTGCCAGCTGAGATTCAACACAGTGTTCAACGCAGAGACCGGAACCTGGGAGTGTGGCCGGCTGTCCTACTGCTTGGAAGACCCTGCAGGTGCCCGAGAGCCGCTGCCCACCCCCTGCAGAGGGAGGGAAACACCACAGTTGTGGGCGGAGGGGTATTACACCAGGGCATGCAGACTCTGGGATTGTGGGGCAGGGAGACTGGGTGCTGGGGAAGAAAGACCTTGGTGAGGGAAGGCTTCCTGAGAAGCTAGGCCTCCATCCTACGCCGTCCACAGGTGGCTTCCAGCAACTTCTCCTGGAGCCCATGCTGAAATTCCACTACATGCTCAAGAAGCTGCAGCTGCATGAAGAGGAGTACGTGCTGATGCAGGCCATCTCCCTCTTCTCCCCAGGTGAGGCTCCGTCCACCCCAGGCTGCCTGACTCCCCTCAGCTTTATCTGCAGGAGGCAGCAGTCCCTCCTCTGCCCTCCCAGGGAAGATCCCAGCCAATGGCCTGGCTTCCCTCTTGCTGCACAGCCAGCATGGGGGCTCTGGCTGGCTTCTCCTTGGGGTCAGTGGGGTGATAACAAGCCTTAGTCTCGTCTCACTCCCCTGCTCCAGAAGGTGGTGGGCTGGCAGTGCCCCCTCTCTGGGCCTGCCTGAACTCGTCTTTGCCTGCATGGCCTTGCCGGTGCCACACCGTGGCCTTCCCCTCTCCTCCAGACCGCCCGGGTGTGGTGCAGCACAGCGTGGTGGACCAGCTGCAGGAGCAGTTTGCCATCACCCTGAAGGCCTACATCGAGTGCAACCGGCCCCAGCCAGCCCACCGGTGAGCACGGCAGGGAGCCAGGATGAGGGAGGGTGTGCGGGAGTTGAGGTTGCAGGAGTTGAGGTTCAGGGCAGCTGCCCAAGGTTCCACAGTCAGAGGGGCAGAATCTGGAGGTGGACCCAGCCAGGCCAGGCCCAAAGCTCACACTTTGGGGTACCACATAACTGCTTTCCAGGAAAACAGGGGGTAGGAAACTCCTTAGCTTGTTCTGGTCCTAACTCAAAAGAGAAAGGCTACTCAGGACTTCGCCCAGACAAGGGCTCCCACATCTTCACTGGTTCTCAGTGGTTCCTGTGACCTAGTGCCCAGAGGCCCAGAGAAAAACCTGGATTACCCTGAGCGCAAGGCCATGAAAGGCTAAGGCCAGACTGAGTATTCTGAAGTGAACTTAAAAAACTCAAATCCTTACTTGACCTGTACCAGGTTGCTTTCTCAGCATCCTGGGGTGCTGGGAGGGGCTGTCTTTTTTGCTCAGTCCTTCCCTGTATGGAGCCAGGAAGCTGGAGGTGCCAGGTTTCTTTTCCATTATGGGGAAATTGAGGCATGTGGTATGTCTCAGACACTAGATCCAAAGCTAGTTTCAGAAAGCGATTCTAGGCTGGATCCCTGCACTGCTACAGTTGCTCTGCTCAGTCCTGGCCTTTGGACATTATTCAAGGCCGTGACTTCCTCCTCTGCCATTAACTTATGCATTTGGCACCTTCAAGGTCTAGATTTTCCCACCGAGATCTCTATATCCGAAGATGCAATGCCCAGGGATGGGGTGGGAGTGGGTAAAGTACCCGGCAGCCTGTCCTGCCCTTCTTGTCCACAGGCTGAGAGAGAAGTTTCAGGAATTCAGCCAAGCTTGAATTTTGACTGACCTGAGAAGTCCTGAGATTAAGCTTGCATGGCCTCAGGGAAGTCCTGGGACTGGTGGGTCAGGGCCAGGGTGAGCTGCAACCCCAACCTTTCTCTGGCTGGTGCACAGGTTCCTGTTCCTGAAGATCATGGCCATGCTCACCGAGCTCCGCAGCATCAATGCCCGGCACACCCAGCGGCTGCTGCGCATCCAGGACATCCACCCTTTTGCCACCCCTCTCATGCAGGAGTTGTTCAGCATCACAGATGGCTGAGCGGCCCCAGGGGTGCAGCCCCCACAAGGCAACCAGACCCAGAGCCCTCTGAGCCACCATTCCTGGGCCTGGAAGGTGGGCAAGGCTGATAATCTCCAGTGCCCTGCTGCGGCTGCTCACCAGGGAACTCGCTGCTGGGACCACAGCCAGCTAACCTTCTTCAGGAAGGGGACACGGGTCCCCCATCCCCCAGTTCAGTCTGTGAACAGTGAAGCCCTGGACTCCTCTGGTCAGGGTCCTGGGAGAGGCAAGGCTGCCTTTCCTTTCAAAAATGTGATCTGGGGATAAACCCAGATCCCACTGAAGTGTCATGGTAGGGGAGGGGAAGAGGCAACCGGGGCTAGGCCATCCAAGGGTCTATGCTTATACACGTTTATTTGCTGCAGCTTTTCATTGCTACCGCTAGTGCTCCTGTCTCCCACCTTCCACTCCTCTTCCTGAGCTCTTCCAGGCTTGTGCTCACCAGCAGGCGCGTGTCTGTGGGAGTCTTCCAGAGAGAAGCCAGCAGGCCTGTGCCAGGTGTCAGAAGCCTGTCATGACCTTGTTCTGGGCACATCATGCTGTATCTCCACATCTGTTCAAACACATTATTAAGCACCAACAATATGAAACCTGCTGTGGGGTGTACGTTAACTCAGATATGGATCCTCACCTCAGAGAGTTTATAGTTAAAAGAAACAAAGCAGAAACGCAAATAACTAGGATCAAAAGAAGTGATAAGTGATATAACCAGCACAAGGAATTTCTTTGTGTGGGTGCTGACCTGTGCTGAAATTCTGGGGGACCTGGGACTCAAGTGACACGTCCCTAGGACACATGAGGAAGGGCACAAATTGGCTGTGGGCATGTGTGATATAGCGTAGGTAGGTCTGCTCCCCACCCAGTGGGGCTTGCGTTTGCTCCTGAGGCCAGAGTGCTGGGCGTACTCTGTGACGAGGCTATGCTGACAGTCCATTTGATGTACGGTGGCAAGGCTATTTGCGTGCACATTATACTTCTATGTGCAATTCCATTCTCAAAGCTAAGGAGTGTGAACATGTCTGTGGTGTTTATAGCCATTTGCGAGCCAAAATATTTTTGCATTCTCACAAATTACACTTTATCTAATTTTATATAAAGCATTCCACACGTAAGACTAGTTTTAGCTAATACGGTCCTGGGTTTAATGTCAAATCAAGGCAAGAGGACTTAAAAAATAAAGGTTTGGCTAGAAACATAAATTTTAGGGCCTTCTTTTCTGGGAGAAATAATGAGGGGGGCTGGGAAGTAGAAATATATATATGTATATATATTTACTACTTATTTTATTATTGCCCTTTACAAATCTGAAGACTGTCAGTGTGAAGAACATAACAATTAATTACTCAACTTGGTTTGCTCATAATTGTTCTATATAAAAGCTTAATGTGTATACATACCATACTTAAAAATGTAGTAATAGGATTAATTTTAAATATCTAATATTTCCAAAGAAGCTGCAAGGTAACTGAATTTTAAGGAACAGATAACTGCTTAGTTTTTACGATTTTATAAGAAGCAGGACAAACTTTGAGAACAGTAAATCATCAGTAATACAAATCATAAGCACATTCCCTAACATCCCTTGACACCTGCCAGACTATTCTGTATCAAGAAGCTATAGGAAGCACTTGTTTTTAGGAAAGAAATTTGGTGGGGGGCTGCTCTCACCAAGCTCAATTAATACAGCATTTGCTCCCAGAAATTTTGTCTAATTATAGACTCACTTATAATTAGAAATATAAGGTTCTAACTCGGAGACACAAATTTCATTCACCTGTATTCACCAGTCTTCGGCATCTCTTCACTTTGAAATGGTTTCAGTGTGCTATTCCTTAAAAAGCCTGACGTTGTTAGATGTAGGTTAGGGTAAGGCGAAGCTATGGTGAGATTAATATAAGGGTAAACTTCAATCTCCAGTGTTGATTTTAAAAATACGCGGCTGTTCCCCAAACACTGAATTGAAATCTACATGTGATTTTATATAGAGTAGAAAAACTAAGTGTTGCTCAAGAGCAGAGTCACCGTTAGATGCACCAAAGAGCTCACACCAGGCGAATACTTTCTTTCATCAGCTTTGCGGATCGCAAGTTTACAGGATAGGAGTCAGATTCATCTTTCCTACTCTAACATTTGGGTTTCCTCATTACTGCCTCCCCTGAACATTTAAGTAGAACTAAGCATCAGCTTTCAGGTACCCCCGTGGCCACTGTTCTTTTTTTCTGGGCCTGCCCAGCCAGGAGAGGATGGAGTCAGTCTCTGAAACTCAGCTGGAAAGACCTAAGTAAGCTACTGGATACCTTCTGACTCCCCCATGAGTCGGAGCCACTCAAGAGTTTCTCTCCCTGGTTGATCTAAACTGAAGTCTTGATGTTGTGAACAAGTCTGTGGAAAGGCCAAGTGGAAACTCCTTTTTGGAGAAAAGAGGATGTAAAGCGAAACATCAACCATCCCTTCCTAACTCCTGACAACTTGTGGGCCTCATCATGCCATCTTCTATAGTGTGGCGTTTTTTCCCTGGTCGCTTTCCTTACCCACAGCTCTCCTAAATCTGATAGTGAGGATGGGGAGATAAAATATTCCCACCTGAGAAATGGGCAACCATTCCAACATTTTTGTCCACTTCCTTCCACAAACTTGTCCATGAGAAGGACCTATAACCTGACCTTTTCTTTCCTTATTACCTTTCTAGAACACCTTCCAAAATGACATCCACTGGTCACTGCTCTCCTGAAACAGGATGCCAAAAGACTGTTTGATCATACTTTTTAGGATTTAGAAATGCAAAAGGTAGTCTTTCCGGATTCTAAGCTAAAGGATCTTGCAGTACACATAACACTGTTTAACTCAACCCCAATTCAAATAGGTAAGGCAGGCCCTACGAGAGACAGTAGTGACTCCCAAACAAATGCACTTCAGTGCCATCAGGAGGCCCATCCCACAATAACATCATTTATATTTTTGCTGATTCACTCCTCCCCCACCCCAGCCACACTGGTAAATGCATTTAACTATTTCCAAATGTTAGTACTAGTAGGCAACACCATAGTAAACAAAGAGGACCAGACTTTATTGAATATAAACTTGTTTTTATTGAAGCAGCAGTCACATGACCTTATATCTAGCCTTTAGTTTAGGCCTGACAGAGCGAGCCAGCCCTAAAAAAATGTTGTTTCTTTTTGCACTAAGAGACATAACATGTTTACATACATCATCCAGTATTGGAAATGAGCAGACTCAAACACAACATGTGTTGGTTACCTGGGAGGTACAGCCCCACGGTTTGTGGTGTTCATATAATTTACAGAGACCCCCAAAGACCATTACTAATAGGATGAAAGTTAAAAGAAAATACAGCTACACCAAACCATGAACACAGTAATCAAAGACAGCAGCTTATACACACAAAAAATTGTCCCTTTCAGGGATGTTTTTCTCTCTTTTCAAAGCAGTGTCTGCAAAGCTTCCTCTACATCAAATCCAAAGGTTTCCAAGATGGAAGCTACACCTCTTGGGGCTATACAATGGAATAAGATCATTGGAAAGAACGAGAAATGGTGTTCATATCTCAGTTTTTATAACAAAGATTCATATTTCCTTAATTAGAGGAACGGAAATAGTGATGTGATTACATATTGCAGTGGTAAAATAGGCAGGTTGAAGAAAGGGGTTTGGGTACTGAAATAAAGACCACACACTTGTGAATTTTAATTTCATTTCCAGGCTAACCTACTTTTTATTTAATGCAAATTACAGTACCAGTTAACTATTTCCAAACCAAGTCACATAGAACAAAATGTATTTACAAGGGAATAGGGAAGGGGGAAAAAAAAAACATTGAGCATACTTTTCACAAAAAAGTTTATATTTAAAATGAAAAAAAAAAAATCAGTCACAGAGGCATTCAAGTAGTAATAATGTTATACAGATTTTGCTTTTCCTTTATATCAAGACAGATTTGCACAAGTGTTTGCAATAGTTTGTATACAACCCACAGTCCTTTATATATATATATATATATATATAATAAATTTTGTTTTTAGATTTGTTTTTAAGATGGAAGTGGTCACGCTAATTGGTATGTGTACAGGCCCAAGTGATCCATCGGCAACACATTTATAAATGCAAATTTTACAGGCAAGCAGATTTTCATACATCTATCTGTATCTGCCTGTAGACAGATATAGTAAGGAAAAAAACTTAAAAAATTAACACAAGGAAGTCTACTTTGTCAAGCTAACCCCTTATGTACTGGTTGTCATTTTGCTTTTATTGCGGAGGTGCAAACGGAGCAACAAACTTGAATTAAATGGCATAACCCTTGTGAAAATAATCCAAACCCCAGGGATTACTTTCAAAGCCTCTCAAAGGTAGACCTCAGTCTAGGACTCTACTGTGCTTCTAGTTGTCTTTCTTATTTTCAGTGGCTCAGGTTTCTACCAGAAAAAACATATTTTCTTGTAAAGCATGCTGATTTTTCCATATAGGGGAGAAAAGTGTTCGGCTCTGCGATTAGATAATCACTAACATGAACAATAGGAATCAGATACAATTTTGGTTTAAAACAAAGAAAACCCCCTAACTCCTGGGGATCTGGCATTGGCCAAACTTCCGTTGGAAGGTCCCAAAGTTAAAACCTTTAACAAGGAAAGGGAAAAATAAATGAAATGCCAGTGTCTTTATATCCACAGGGATAGAGAATCTATTAGTCCTCTCAGAAACCTTTGCATTGTTGCAGACAAGATGACTGGTTAGGTATACTTTGTTAAAACACAAACAAAAATGTGTCTAAAAATTAAGAGGACTTGAAAAAAATGACACATGTCATTGGAAAGAAGGTGCAGTCTTCTGCCTTGCTGGAATGAACACATGATGTTTCAAAAATAGCAACCTTTGGTTTGGTAAAGTTTTTCTTCTATTCAAGACATCTTATATGGAGTACTTGGAGGCAAAACAAATACTTTCTATTTTTTTTTTATTTCAAAAAAGGCCTTCGTGTTGGGCACACAGGAAGAATTAAACTGATTTATAAAAAAGAAATTAAAATGACATTTCATTGAACAGGGGTAGAGATGGCAAGAGGGAAGAAATGGGCTAAGAGTTCCCTTGTTAAAACAAGTCCTCTACTGGCACGGTGGCACTCCGTGCACTAACTGCTAGGTAATAGCACTACAGCATTTTAGACCACTGACGTATCAAAACCCGGTACTATTAAGAAACTTCGATTTATAAAAAACCAATTCTCTCTCTCTCATTTTGGAGGGGAAGTAGGTAGGGAAAAGAGAGAGATCATGGAAGGCTCCCAGAATCTGCTGTTTTTAAGACCCATGGTTAGGGCTTGTGGAAGAGACGAGCAAAATCTAATCTATTCGATATCCTCCAGCTCTAGGGCTCCCTGGCACTACACTAAGTCCCTGAATGGACTAAGTATGAAATGAAACCGGTCACTGCTACTGAGGAGGAAACAGATGTTCAGAACCAAAACAAAGGCAGGGCTTGAACGAAATGAGATTATGAACATGGTTTCCTCTTCCCACTCCTGAGCATGGTGTCACTGAAATTTAACTGAGGAAGGAGCAACGATACTGTTATGAGTGAATTATTGCAAAGGGAAAGGGGATGGACAGGGAGACATGGATAAAGGAATCCAATTAGTTTTAAAAATGAAAAACAAACAAAACAAAAAACAAACACATGGAAGCGAAGGCACTCCAAACTATATAGATACACTATACATTGCTAGAGTTATTGTTACAATAATACAGGCCGGTACCTACTGTACAGAGTTAAAACTATATGGCTTTAAAAAGCTCGTCTACATTTTGTCTGATTATTAAACAGAATCACTGCCCTGAACAGTAACTTTTTGCTCATTAATAACAGTTCCTGGGTCCACATATTTACATACAAAACAATAAAACTTAAATTTAAAAACATTGAAAGAAAATATAATGTACAAGCTTGAATTTGGTGAGGAGCTTTTTATTATTATTATTATTATTTACAAAAAGTTATTCAGAGACCTGGATCTCACTTGTATAAAAGAGTTCTGTGATCCCGCCATGATCCTTGAGAAAGAAAAATCACACACCTCAGCCCCCTCTCTCTCACACACACTCTCTCTCTCTCTCTCTCTCTCTCACACACACACACACACACACACACACACACACACACACACACACACACACACAAACACGATAAAATGAGAGAAAAGCATCTGACTCTTCCCTCTTCTTCTCTTACCCCATTTGAGGGGGAAAACCTGTTTCCTAAAATAAGCACTGACTTTTATGGACTCCAGCAAGTATACTAAGTCCAGAGTAGTGTCTGTATCCAAATGTTTGGCTGGGCAGTTGGATCTGAAAGCAGGTCCATTTCTCTATCATTGATCTGTCCTTTCAGATTCTTTATAAAACCTTTCTGAACATGGTCTATCAAAGTCATTCCCCCTTTGAGGAAGTATGCTGCCAAATACTTTGATTTCAGATTTCTCTCAAATCCTAATTAGCTTTCAGAAGCTAATTATAAAACATAAAATTCAATGTTTGATTTGGTTTGACTGAGCATGTTTCCTTTCTCATGAACTCTGATATAACCAGAGGTTTCAGAAACCCCTTTTGTGGCCTAAGAGCTTAGCTAAACAGCGAGTGAAAACTAAGATGGCTCACAGTTGTCTTTCCGGGTCTTGGTTCACTTCAGCAGGCAGTACCAATCTCCTGGAGAGTCACACACACGTGGTTAAGGGGCAGGACAGGGCACAGAGGCCTGCAGGAGGGCTGCCAACAGACTCCACTTCTGAACCATCTGGAGGGCGAGACCCCTAACATGCCTACAGTGACAATGAGGAGGGTGAGGGAAGTTACACACAACTTAGGGCTCAGTTCTGCAGCCCCACAGTTACCAGCTAACCTTGGAAGGTGTGTGGGGAAGGAGCGGGTAGAAGGGAGAGGCGGCCATCACTCAAGTGATCTTTAAATGTAAAGTACAACTGATTGTGCCTTAAAGATTCATAGGTCAAGTAATGGCCCATAAGCACCAAGGTGACTAAGGTTCATTTTAGAGTATATAAGGCCCACATAGATGCCAACCTTAAAGGTATAAAACAAACTAGTCATGGAAATCTATTTCCTCACGGCAAACATGATCCTTCAATCCTCCTTGCTTTTCAAGGAATATTGCTTTTTCTTCGAAAACAAAGACTGATTCTTACACCATTCACTGATACACAAAGAAAACAAACAAAAATTCTTAATTGGGGGTGCGCGGAGGGGTGGGGGACATTCTTCTCATGCTTCAACCAGTCAATTTTGCTACTGTAGACAAAATAAAAAGGCAGTACTGAATATATGTATATATGACATATATACACACATTTATATAATCAACTTTTCTATAAAGTCAGCAGGTATAAGTGACTGTTTGTCGTTTTGATGTGTAGATTTTAACATTTCTACCATCTAAAATCATAATGATCTGACATGCATCAATAAATAAATGTAAAAAGCATGAGGTTAAAAAAAGCTGAAATTAAATACAGATTCTAGATTTGGATTTAAAATTAGAACTACGTGTAGAATGTGGCAACTTCTGCAAGCTCAATTTTCAACTAAAAACATGAAAAAATAAACCAGTAGACTGCTACAGTTCACATTATTTAACAACAATGTCCTCTCAAGTGTGTCTTTCCAAGGGAAGAAGCTTTAGGAAAAAAATCTGGACAAACTCATTCACAGTGATGAGATGTGCCCGGCCTGTCCCCTTCCTCTGGGTTCACTGGCCTTTTACCTCTGCAGCCAGAGCGGCCTGCTCAACACCCTTTCAGTCTCCTCTTAGGTCACTAGTTTAAAACTGTGCTAAGATTTGCAAAGAACTTTGGTCAGGCAAACAGATCCGTAGAGCACGCATGCCAGCGTCCTGCTTGCTGCTCTTCCTCTGGCAGCCTCCTATACAAGCTTCTTCGCCACTAGCACTGACTGAGAGTAAAACAAATCTATGAAGTATCTTCCCCGCAGAGTTGCAAACTTATTGACCTCCCTGGGTTACAAATGATACACATTTCCTTTTTTGTCCACCATACCTGCCACTACCATGCCAAAGGCAAGTCTTCAAATACCCGAGGATATGGATTAATTTTACAAGTGACACTTAAGTCCCCATTGAGTTATACCTGCTAAGCTCCCAACCAATTTCAAGCTGTGCACTATACCAAAGTCTTACACTAGACTTTAAAAGAAAACAAAGTTCAAAAAAAATCTTCAGCACAGAACAAAGTTTTCTTCTTTTGTGGAAGGGGCATGAGGCAGGAGTCCTGTTTTTAAAGTATACCACAGTAGACTTGATAAAAAAAGATTGTCGTGGGAGAGAGATTGTGTGTTCTAGTGCTCCGCTTTCCCCTCCCCACAACCCCTCCCACCCCCTGGATCTCCCTCAAAGTGAGAATACAATGAAATTGGTTTGTATTTATAGATATTTTACAAGGTTAAATAAGAACAAAATAGTAATAAAAAAATTGAACACTAAAATGAACAGGTTTTTTTTTCTTTTTAATTTTCTTTCCAAACGTGACCAGTGTTGCTGAGTGACACTCAAGTAACTGGTGGTTTTCCTGTGCAGGTGGCTGCTCGGGACTGTTCAGGTGGAGTTGGAGGCTGATGCAGAAGCGGCGTTATTGGTCTGTCCACGGTCTCCGGCATTAGCATCTGCAAATTGAAAGTCCCAAGAGAGCATGAGCAATGCTGTAACACCCAAAGAAATGCCCTTCTTCAACCGCAGACTGTGAGCTGTGTGGCCTTCCAAGCTGTTATCTGGAGTGTTGTTTTAAATATGGCCAACACCAAGAAATCTGAATGTCTCTCTGCTTGGAGCTAAGCTCATGCCACAGCATGGTCCTGGTATAGGCAAGATTAGTGTCTTTGAATAAGTTACAGATTCAGAGAGCCAGAGACCATTTCTGCCAAAGCTCTTGCTATAGCTGAAACCAGCAGTGTACGAACACTCAGTTGGAGGCTAGCTCACTTGAAAATAAATAACAGTGCACAGCTGGGAAAACTTGCTAAAAATTCTGAACCATGTTACAGATATGCCATCTGTTTAAGTGGGTGAATAGGTAGAGGCAATGAAAGCAATATGGGCCAGTGCTGATAGGCAGAACAGTCCTGTTTCATTATTCATTGGGATGGAAGACAGACAACTAGCAAAAAAGAAATAGCCATGATAGTACCAATTTCCTCAATTCTATAAAGTATTCTGTAGTCAAATGTGTGAATCTTGACACTAAGAGTTTACTTTGCCCTAATCCTTTCGAAGTACACGTACAACTTCACAACCAACCAGTGTCTCCTTCCTGCTTTTAAGGTCCATTATTATTTCACAGCAGCCACTAGCATTTAAAAAAAATTTTTTTTATTTTAAAGATGTAGGGTACAAATCGGGCTTGGTGGCTCAGCCTGTAATCCCGCGCTTTGGGAGGCTGAGGTGAATGGATTGCCTGAGCCCGTGGATTCAAGACCCGCTCGGGTAACTTGGCGAGACCTCATCTCTACAATAAATCAAAAAATTAGCCGGGCGTGGTAGTGCGCGCCTGTAGTTCTGGCTACTTGGAAGGCTGAGGCGGAAGGATCGCTGGAGCCCAGCAGGTCGAGGCTGCGGGGGCTGGGAGCGTGCCACTGCACTCCAGTCTGGGCGACAGAGTGAGATTCCAACTCAAAAAAAAAAAAAAGATGTAGGTACAATTCACGGTTAGGTATACAAATGGTCATTGTACAGGTAAAGTTTGGGCCTCACTTTGGTCTCCACTTCACTTGGCTTGAGATTAGGTATCCCTATTGATGAAGTGTGCCCCTCAGCCATTAGTATTTAAGTGGGCATCTAATTGTGTTCATATTGGCTCAACAGACTGCTGTTTCAGTGGCTAATCAGATTGCATCCTTGTCATCACAATGAATGAGAATGTACTGCTGGTCAAATTTTCTCCTATAGGTGTCACACTAAGCCCTGAGCAACAGATATGGCTTGACTGGGATGGGAAACTTTTAGGAGCCATCTTTAGAGGCCACACTGCCTTGGTTGGTGACACCAAAAGGCATACCCAGGAGTTTTTGTTTCTCTAAAACTGAAAGGATCTGTAGATCTACCATGCCCTATGATGAGCGGAGTAACTAACATCATGGTTGAATGCAACACCTGGTCCACTTTGAATTTTGGATTTGAGGGAGACACAAAAGATCTCAAGGATACACAGGAACTCTTTCCTCAAGGTTTAGCTACTCAGTTGACCATTTCTATAGATACTCTATATAAACTTTACTTCCTTTCTAAATTCCTGATTTTCCTGCCCCCAAAACAATCTGCCCTTACATACATTTAATACAGTCTGTGGGTAAGAATTGTGAACATCTCTTAATTTGAATGACTATGCTTAATTCATTTAATTTCCTTCAAAATATCTATAGCTGCTTCTAATCTTGTTGTCATGTGAATAAGTACAGACATTATGGCACCAGAGTCTTGGCATTAGACTCCTACTGCCCACAGCATGGAGTCATGTTAATTCATTTGTATGGTACATGAAAAGGTGGCAGGAAAGTGTGTGCAACTTAAAACATACTCTCCAAAGCCAGGTAGACAAGCTTTTCCAATAATCAGTGAGTAACTATGTCAAATACTCCATTTGTGACTCCTCGTCTTCTTTAGACAAGCCCTGTTTAAGGGAGTTTTACTCTCAATGATCATCCAAATTCTGTGCACCAATAACCCAACATTAATTCCTGGCTAGGCTGCAGACTCCTCCAAGCCTTGCTTAGGAAAAATGTCTGTTCTCAAGGTTTAGGCACAGACTGCATTAAAAACAACATTCCAGAGAAAACATGAAAACCAAGAGATATTTCATAATGACAAGCAATTCTGAAATCCATGCTTACTGTAGTATTTCCCATGGTCTAGGTGATACTCAAAACCTATACATGATTATCATTAAATAGCACTTCCCTCTCATTTTTCAGCACAGAGAGATGACACAGAGAACTGTCATTTTGGTCTTCCCAGGACTTAGGACAGGTATCAATCATCAGAAATTTCTCTTTTTGACTATCCTGTCAGTACACATGCTTGTACTGTGAGTGGCTTTGGCCATGGCAACCATTACTACCCAGGCTGACACCAGCCAAGGTGAATTCAGTAAATATCTCACCTATATGGCCACCAGTTCATTTATGTTAATTTGCTCTTCAGTGAAATCCTATTTAACTACCAATTTGCAGATGTCTGTTCACTGGCTACAGCCTGTGAGCTATGACGTTGCAAAACCAATCTCCCCTTCCTTGGATAAATTCAAAGGCTGACTGAGGATCACAATGAAAAATCCAAACCTTTTGAGCATATAACCAGAAACAAACTCACTTTCTAGACAATAAAATTTGACAAAGAAACTCATGTTCCTCAGATTTGCAATTTAATGATAACAAATTTTTTTGAATTATTTCCAAATCACTTCTATACACCCTTGCTAGGAAAAAGAAGAGAGTTCTCTTTGTCAGAGAGAGACAAAGTACAGGGAGGGACAATGAAAACAAAAACATGTAAAGTTCTACAAACTCAACACTCAATAGTAGGTTCAACAGACTACCTGGCTTACTGATTGAACAAAGCTACATTTCTTTTTTTTTTTTTGGTGTTGGAGTCTCACTCTGTCACTCAGACTGGAGTGCAGTGGCCGCTCC